TATATATATATATATATATCATCTTCCTCTCTAGAAGGTCTATTTGTAACTGAACACTTTGCACTTCCTCAATTTTTTTTGTGTATATTGTTTGAGTGAGAGAGATAGTAGATCTTGAGGAGCAAGTAACCATCTCTCCTTCTTTAAAATGGGTTGCATAGTCTCTCTCTCCATTCCTTTGCCTCTTTATTTATTTATTTATTTATTTATTTATTTATATGCACATGCTAACTCATCCATGCAACCCAATACAATGAAGAAAGAGGCAAAGGGGAGGAGAATATGCAAAGGAAGGGAACTTTTTTGTCTCGTTCTGTCTTCTTTCCATAAGAAGAAAAAGAAATTAACACTTCTGAAAACAACATTGTTCCTTTCGTATAACACATTTATTACTTCAAGCTGATTTAGGGTATGCATCTGGATTTCTTAAAGGCATATTTCCTTTATTTTTATATGTATTCACGGTGAATTAATTTTTTATTAAATACATACACATGTCTCCATGCACACATGTAGGTGTGTTTGTTATGTATGTTTGTATGTGTGTGTATTTGTGCCTGTGTGTTTGTGCGTGTATGTTTGTATGCATGTGTGTTTTTGTTTGTGCGGTTGTGTGTGTGCATGTATGTATGTATGTATGTATGTGTGTTTACGTGACTATATGCATTTATATATATGTAATTATATATCTTCTATGGTAAATTAATTTTCAACTATCAACATATACAACTAGTAATATACTTGTGAAATAAAGAAAACTACTTAAGAATTAAAAGATTGAAAGGTTAATGAAAATAGAGAAAATGCTGGTTTTTTGGTTATTCACTTATCATGTATTCTTGAAATTGTTGCTTGATCTCGATCTTCATTCTTAACAATACTTTCAATTAGAAAATATCATAAAAACATTTGCTTTTTCATTAAGTAAAAAGATGTTCAATTATGTGCTTAGAAACATTGTTATTCTATAGGATTTCATAGTGTTTTTTAAAATTGAATGAAAAAAAGGCCTCAGATTTGTATGTCCCGTTTGAGGGCAAATGGAGCGGTAAGCACAATGAAATGGAAACTGTGAAATGGTGGATCAAACAGAATGAAATTAGAATAATTAGCTAGTTGCAAGCATTTGATTTTGGTTGAGCTTCTCACTTACTAATAAAGTTGTCACGTCTATTAAGGATTTTCCCTTCATCAAGAAAGCTGTTCTCCCCTGAAAATCATCATTGAAATATGAAGGTGATCGTATCGTGTTTGGGTCAAGTGCTTATTAAGAACCCCTAAGAATATCCAAAACTTAAGGTTATATGCTCATGAAATTGTGCAGTCTGAGCGAGTCACTAGCAACCAAATAATATCACATATTACATGCAACATAATTTTTGATTGTATAGACCTATTGCACATGGGAACCAATGTTTCAGCATAAATTATTTAGAGTTCATGCTGATAAAGATAAATATTTTCCAACGTAACCTATTAAGCATGAATATTTTGGGATGTTTTGTGACATAAGATATGTTCAAAGACTACTAGCCATTCGTTTTCCTAGGATTTTAGAGTGAACACTGTTCCTTCAAATTTATACAAGCTCTAAATCAATAAAGAATTTTCAAAATATAAGCTGAAAAGATGCATTATAATTTTTACTACAAACTATTATAAAATAACTAACCATGATGCAACACAAATATTTTGTGTTTCTTTTGAAAACAGTAGTCTAAATTTATTTATTCTTTTTATTTGCCGGGGATGCAAAAACTCATTATATTACTTTTATGTTGCAAGGATAAAAAATTATTCTTAGATCCAAAACCTATTAGCTTAAAGTTTTTCGATCATTTTTTTATAGAGCTTAACATATGAATGAGTTTAATTTAAATTTGAATATATGTACTGGAGTGAAAGTTAACTTGGTTGACCAAGTTGAAGTCCCTGTTTGTTCAAGTATGCAAATTTTTATATATGTTGCTGTTATGGAGATAGCCCAAAATAGTTTCTCTAATACAATAAGTAGTCAATTTAGATTTAGAGTTTTATAATGCTCCAATTTACTTCCAGACTATTGATAATTGATTTGAATCAGTCATAAGCCAAATTTTCTATTTAATTCAACAGAGATGCTCCACAAATTGAGAGCAATTTGGTCATATTTAAAATTATATTTACGAAAACCGTCTAACCTCGCTACTTTGTCATTTTACGATTTTGGACTTTCACTGCTTTGTCTCTTTCACTTGTCATTGGAACTATGTCTCTTCCTTGCTTTGATGGCTCGACAACCCACAATTACCGCGATAAAAGCCCCACTTCGATCTGTGTTGGTTTGATCTAGATAAGCTGCAATTGGAGCCATCTAGAGCATCCATTGATGCTAACATAAGTTTGTGAAAGAGAAGAGGATTTCATTGAAGAAGCAGGTAATTTCGTCTTTCTCTCCACTCGCACGCGTGCTTTGGTTTTAATTAATTTAAGGAAAAATGGAGAAGGAAAGAGATTTTAGTTTTTATAGATTTTAAAGTTGTTTTTGCTATTTAGTAAGATTTAACAACTGCTTCTATCGTACTCAAGTCCTAAAAATAGAGTAACAATAAAAATAAAATTTCCATTAAAATTATTATTCCTAAAATACCCTGAAAGTTAAAGATTAGTGTAAATTTATACATAAAATTCAGTCTAAGGACTAATTTGGATCAATTTTCAATAATCTCGGATTAAAGTGGAGCACTTTAAAGTTTCATTGGTCGCTTGTTTATAGTTGAGGCACTATTTTGCAAAGTTCAAAACTGCAAAATCGGGAATCAAGGCATTTTGCTCTAGCGAGATGAGGTGTAAACCTAGGCGTAAGCCCCAAAAAAGAAAAAAAAAACCTCAAAATTAAAAATAATTCATGAATATGTTATAAATCATTGATATGTTGATTTAATATCATCATAATAATCTTAAATAGTGATATAAAATAGAAGTTTGAAATCTGATTAAATGTAAGCATTCACTTAAAATTGAAATACTCCATGAAGTTCACGATCCATAGTGAACTCATCATTGCTTTCATCATGTTCAAAAGAATCATCATATTTATTATAATTTAAAACAAAATAATAATTTAATAACATAAACACGTAATCACACTTAATTATCTTTTTGACTTTTTTAGATTTTGTATTAGATATAATATATTATACTATATATTAATAATATAATACAACATATATTTTTGTATAACTTGATGGAGGCGTTGCCGCAAAGATACGCAAGTCTCAGATGAAAAATGCGCAAGCCTGGCTTAAGCCTTGAGGCTTTTTTTTTGTGCCTCAGTTTGAGGCAAGCCTCAAAGCGCAAGTCTCGAACACCTTTTTAAATAATTCTATTTCGAGCTTTTGCTTGTTACTGCAATTTTCAAATCACCACTTTCGTTGGACGAATTTCCATATTATCATGCTTAGCAGAACGAAGACATACATGCAAAGCATGTCATTGAATGCATTTGTTTTGGTTTAATTTGGTTCAATTTGGTTTGCATAGGTGCACTGGCTTTGGCAATGTTTGCATTTGTATTTGCATAATACATTTTCTTCAGGTCTTTATTGCATTTATATAGTTAGAATTTCCATAACTCCATGTTCATTTAGAGCTTCAAAATTCACGTGTTTTGCTTATCATGCCATTTCGGGAGCATTATTCTTGCTGTACATTTTACTGAGGGTTTTCTGATTCCTAAGTATTGGATCCTGAAGCTACATATAATGAAGAATTTCTTATGTGTTACACTTGAATCTTGTAAGCTGTTGTTTCTTTTTGCGTTCATATCAGTTCCATTAAAAGATAACTTTTAGGTAAGTATATTGCAAAATAATCATTTAAAGGATAACTTTTAGGTAAGTATATTGCAAAATAATCTTTCTCATTTTTGTTTGTAGATCAGGAGCGCATACTGAAATGCTTTTGAAAAATGCCATTGAAGAAGCTCCCAAGATGAAGTCCGTGTCTGTGAACTTTGAAAGCAGTTCCTCAGTCCAAGCAACATGTTCAGATAAGCAAGTACAGCGGTTAGTTGTCTTAACTTTGTTCATATTTGGAGTTCTTCTTATGCTGAGCTTGTCTGGTTGATTTCTGCCTGCATACCCATGCAAAGAAGGTTTGCTTGTGCACATGTCATCTTTGCTATGCCGTTATTTTACTTGATTCACCTGATATAAACCTGTTGGTTCCGTACTGATTTTAGTTTGATTTGTTCTTTCAGGCCTAATTCAATCACTAATAGACTAACTAGACGAAAAATGCCTTTACCCCACAGTGATTCCCCTTCTCAGGATATGCTTGACCATGCTGAGTCTCAGTCTGATGGACAAAATGTCGGAACTTCTATGCTAGAAAAATCTTCCTACCTTGTTGCGCCTAAAAGGGCCAGGTCTCCTCTTATATCTGTGGAAAAATCCATACATTCTTCTTCTGTCGTATCTGATTCTGAGAGGTAAAATATTATCATCATTGATGTTGCTTGCGTTGCTATGTCATACTTAGTAGGGTAAGCATTCTTTCTAATGTAGGCCTTAAGTGCAGGGAAATGCAAGCAAAGGCAAAGCGATTAGCTCGCTTCAAGACTGAATTAACCCAACCATTACAGAATCTACAGGATATCTCATGGCACAAATCTTCTGAAAATAGGCAAAAGCAGGTACCTTTAGTTCAACAAAAGACTGATGAGCATGCTGAAGATGCAAGTTATGGTGGTAACTTTCCTGATCATGAAGGTGTTGAATCATCAAAAGCTGTGATTGGTCTGTGCCCAGAGATGTGTCCAGGTACTTTTATGATGTTATATGCTTTTTAAGCTACCTAATCTTATTTAATCTCATGATCCTATAATTTCCGCTTAACAATTGAGAACAATATAACCAGATTTGGAGAGGGATGAGCGTGAAAGAAAGGGAGATCTTGATCAGTATGAGCGCTTGAATGGAGATAGAAACCGAACAAACAAATTTCTTGCTGTTAAAAAAGTAGGGTCTCAGTAGTCTCAATCTTACCTTTCAGATTGTTGCTTGTTCTGAAACAGTCTGTCATCAATATACAAGAGGAAACATAATGGAAATTCTTATCTGAAATATACAGTATAATAGGATGGCTGAGCGTGAAGCTGAGTTGATAAGGCCTTTGTCTGTCCTGCAGAAGACAGTTGATTATCTTCTAAGTTTGTTGGATCAACCTTATGATGGAAGTTTTCTTAATATATACAACTTCTTGTGGGACAGAATGCGAGCAGTACGGATGGATCTCAGGATGCAACACATTTTCAATGAAGATGCTATTCTCATGCTAGAACAAATGGTATTCTCTATTGTAGAGGAAACTGCCTTTGCATTTGCGCTTATGAAATAATTTATATTTGTTGCTGCCGCAGATAAGGCTTCATGTAATTGCTATGCATGAGTTATGTGAATTTGAGAAAGGTGAGGGTTTCACGGAGGGTTTTGATGCACACCTCAATATTGAACAAATGAATAAAGCCTCTGTTGAGTTATTTCAACTGTATGATGACCATAGAAAGCGGGGGAAAAGTTTTGCATCAGAAAAAGAATTTAGAGGATACTATGCACTTCTCAAGTTAGACAAGCATCCTGGTTACAAAGTGAGTTATTTCTATTTTGGTCTGGTATATAAATAGTTATGATCCCTGTTTTAATATATAATTGATTTGTTTTAGGTGGAACCTGTAGAGCTCTCACTTGATCTTGCTAAGATGACTCCTGAGATACGAAGTACTAAAGAAATTTTATTTGCTCGAGATGTTGCAAGGTTTCTATCAGCTTATTGCTTGCCCACTGCCTAATAGTTTTGAATGTTAATGCTAACTCCAACATAACCTTTGTTTTGTTATTCCAGTGCTTGTAGGATTGGCAATTATATTGCATTTTTCAGGCTTGCTAGAAAAGCAACGTATCTTCAGTCCTGCTTAATGCATGCTCATTTTTCTAAGGTATTTCACTTCATTTGGATGTTAATTTAATGAGCATACTACGCCTAAGCTTTTGTTACAGATGTTATGGATTCTGTAAGTTAGTTTTATTATACCTTTTTAACTGGCTACTCGTGCATTAATTTTTTTAGTGAGATTTTTTATAAATCAACATTTATGTCTTTTAGAAATGTGAAATTCTCCTTGCAGTGGCTATCCTTTTCTCAAGTAATGCTGGCTTTAGTACATTTTTTGTTAGATACAAAAAACCATGTGATTAACTCGAGAGTCAATTTAGATTTTTTGGCTTGGTTTTACATATCAAGTTTAATATAATCTCGCCAGAATATACTGCATTGCATGACTATCTTGCCAGAACATGATTTGCTAACCAAATTTGTAGCATGACAAGCATATGGATGCAGTATGGTATGTTTGTTTCCACCTAGTTATCCTTGTTTATGCTATTTTCATTTTGCTATATTATGCCATCGTTTTTTGTTTTTCATTTTGATATTATATGAGATAAAGTGGTCAATTGCCACTTGAACATGCTCAACAGTATTTCACTCCGAATATAATTACATTGCAAAATTTTGGAGCATCTATTATAATTAGCAATCCTTAGCTTATGATTGGAGAACATGATTGCATGATAAAGAAAAGGCTTACCCATGGCTTCCTCTGTAGGGATGGGTTCAAACTTGAAGCCCTTTTTTTTTTGACTTTTTTCACCCTTTATCTCTCTTTTTAAAGTTCATTTCTTTTAGCTACATTCATTTTAAACCCCAGTTCTTCTATAAGGGATTCTCCTTTCTTGATAAATCATGTTACCTAAAGTTCCTTCATTTTTTTTCTTCTACTGTCAATCCTTAGTTATATCTGCAAAATTCTCATCCAACTTTTCTTTAAGGGACTATTTGTTTGAATATTTTTAAATAAATTCAGTTGAGAAATAAAGTAATTGGAATGTATGTATTTTAGATGTAGACTTTTTTTTTGGTTCGATGCAAATCACTTGCATTAAAATTCTTCTTAATGTTTTTTATTATGCATTTAAAATGCATTGAAATGAGATAGACAGCGGGTAGGAAAGGTTATGATAGGAGAACTTGATTACATAATAATGAAAAGGATTACCCACGGCTTCCTATGTTGGGATTTGTTAATCACTTGAGGCCCTTTTTTGCCTTTTTTCAACCTTGGTCTCTCCCTTTAAATTATTCATTTTTTTTTATCTTTGCTGCATTCTTTTTAAACCTCAGTTCTTCTATAATATGTTTTTCTCTTCTCGAAGTACCGAGGTTCCAGCAAATTTTTATCTTCTACTGACTTATTTTTTGTCAATTAGCTTCAGAGTTATGTTTTTGAAATTAAGTTGTGGTTTAATTTTTCATATTTTAACAGATATTGACGACATTATCTTTTTCATTTTATAAGTTGTTCTCCCAAAACAAACCTACACATGCATCCCTTCAGGCAGATTGATTTTGTTGAACTAAACACAACATAAATCCTTAGCTATATCCGTAAATGTTCTTTTTTCTGCTGCTTTACTTTGTGCCAATTGGCTTTAGAGTTGGGTTTCTGCATGGAAGAAATTAAGATGTGTTTTTAATTTTTCATATTCGAATTGATAATGACAATTTTTTTTTCATTTTATTATGTTATTCTCTCAAATCTTGTTCACGCAAGCATTCCTGTACTCACATTGATTTTCTTGAACTAAACTGAACCTAAATCCTATGCTATATCCGTAAAATCTTTATTTAACTCCTTTAAGGGGCTATTTGGTTGAATATTTTAAAAAATCATTCATTTTAGAAATATAGAGTAGTTGGAATGTATGTATTTTAGCTATGTATGTGCTTTTTGGTTGGATGCTATCACATCTATTTCAATGCTTCTTAGTGCTTATTATTATGCATTTTAAATGCATTGAAATGAGATTGGTAGTTGTTAGGGGAGGTTATGATTGAAGAACTTGATTACATAATAAAGAAATGGCTTATCCATGGCTTCCTCTATAGGGATTGGTTCATCTCTTGAAGCTTATTTTTGCCATTTTCACCCTTTTTTTCTCTTATAAATTATTCATTCCTTTTTTTTTTAATCTTTTCTACATCCTTTGTAAATCTTTGTTCTTTAATGGATTCTCCTCTTCTCGATAAATCAAGGTACCAAGGTTCCAACACATTTTTTGCATCTACTGACTCACTTTGTGTTATTTGGCTTTAAGAGTTTGGTTTCTGAATCGAAGAAATTATGGTCTGCTTTAATTGTTCGTATTTTAAGAGAAAATGACAACATCTTTTTCATTTTATTAGTTTATTCTCCCCAAACATATCTACACATGCATCCCTTCTGTACGTTATTTTTCTTGAACTAAACATGTATTTAAATTCTTAGCTATATCTGTAAAATCCTCATTTAACTCTTCTTTAAAGGGCTATTTGGTTGAATATTTTGAAAATACATTCATTTGAGAAGTACAGAGTAGTGAAAATATATGTATTGTACAAATCTATGAGCTTTTTTGGTTGGATGCAAATCACATGCATTGAAATGCTTCGTAGTACTTGCTATTATGCATTTTAAAAGCATTAAAATGAGATTGACTGTGGCTAGGAGAGGTTATGATTGGAGAACTTCATTACATAATGAAGAAAATGCTTATTCATGGCTTCCTCTATAGGGATCCGTTAGTCTTTCTCGGCCTTTTTACTTTTTTTCCAACGTTTATCTCTCTTTAAAGTATTCATTTATTTTAATCTCTGCTACATCCTTATTAGACCTTCTTCTGTAGTGGATTCTCCTCTTTCTGATAAATCAAAGTACTAAAATTCCTTCACATTTTTTTCTACCGACTCACTTTGTGTCAATTGGCTTTAGAATTACGTTTATGTATCTAAGAAATTAAGATGTGTTTTAATTTTTCATACTTTAATCGACAATGGAAATATATTTGTCATTTTATTAAGTTATTCTCTCAAAACAAATCTACACATGCATTCCTTTAGGCACATTGATTTTCTGAACTAAACTGAACCTAAATCCTATGCATTATCCATAAAATCGTCATTTAACTCTACTTGAAGGGGTTATTTGGTTGAATATTTTTAGAACACATTCATTTGAGAAATACAGAGTAACTGGAATGTATATATTTTAAAAATGTATTGAGTTTTTTGGTTGGATGCAAATCACATGCATTAATGCTCCTTAGTGTTTGTTATTATGCATTTTAAATGCATTGAAATGAGATTGACAGCTGCTAGGGGAGGTTATGATTGGAGAACTTTATTACATAATAAAGAAAAGGTTTTTCCATAGCTTCCTTTGTAGGATTGATTCAACCCTTGAGGCCTTTTTTTGGTCTTTTTATCACCCATTATAGTATTCATTTTTTAAAATGTTTGCTACATTCTTTTTAAATCTTAATTTTTCTTCTATAAATGATTCTCCACTTCTCGCTAAATCAAGGTATCAAATTTCCACCACTTTTTTTTTTCTATGGACTCACTTTGTGTCAATTAGCTTTAGAGTTAGTTTTCTGAATTGAAGAGATTAAGATGTTTATTAATTTGTCATATTCTTAGAGATAATGACAACATCTTTTAATTTATTAATTTATTCTCTCAATCATCTATGCCCATGCATTACTTCGGATACATCGATTTTTTTGAACTAAACCGAATCTAAGTCCTTAGCTAAATCTGTAAAATCCTCATTTAACCCTTTCTTTAAAGGAATGTTTCTTTGAATATTTTTAAAATACATTCATTTGGAATGTATGTATTTTAGAACTATACGGGTTTTTTCGTTAGATGCAAATCACTTGCATTGAAATGCTTCTTAGTGTTTGTTATTATGCATTTTAAATGCATTGAAATGAGATTGATAGTGGCTATGTGTAATAACTGAAATTTTAAATAATAATAATAATAATAATAATATTAAAATAAATCGATTAGGCACTGTCACGACCCAGCCTGGGCCTTAGAATTAACCAAGACATGTATAGACGATCGGATGGTGTGAATTAAGTTTTCTATATTTATTTAACTTTTAACAAATGAAAGAGTCACTGATCAATTTAAATTAAATCAATATATTTAAATTTGTCTCGTTATTGATTTTCTGCATCTTTTATAAATATTTTCTCTTATATAGTTTATCTTTTAATCATTTAATTAAACCTAAAATTTTAATTTAAATTAAAGCTAGTTAATTTTCATACTTCTAAACTACAGTAATACAAGAGAAAAGAAAAATAATATGCATGCCAGTTAAGCTTTTAATAAGTTAATGTAAATATTTGATACTATTCAATGAATCTTACTATATCAATAACATATTTATATCATTCTATATCTGTATAACCGTCATATGAGCACTATCTAAAAATTGTAACGCTTAAGTTACTTCAATTTTAATATTCTTTTTCATTTATGTGTATGAAGACTTTAGCGTTTCCCCGTTAGTACCATGAAGGGGTGACTCCATCATAGTTAATCATAAATATACAAACAATCAATATAAACATATCTTTCATATGTTAATCACATTCAATTCAATATACTGTATATAAAATACACCAATGCATGATAATAAGTAGGTGCATATATTCATAACAATGTGAACAATAAAAAAGGGATCAAATAAATTAAAATAAAGCTTCTACAAGTATCATTATCTCTTAATGCAAAATAGCGGAGAACCAAAATATTACCATATATTAAAAGTACGAGTACTGACCTCAATGACGATTAATTTATTATTTCTTGATGTCGAATCTTCTAAAATTTGAAACCTAACATAAATGTCCGTATTTATATAAAAAATAATTAATTTATTATTTTAATTAAATAAACATTTACATATATCTATATAACTTTAGTCATGCATTGTAGTTAATCTTGTTTCGTACTCCTTTGATGTAAATTTTGTAGTTTCTTGTGATTTTCTTTCTATAGATTTTTGGTTTTCTTGACGTATTTTTTATAAATGAATTTATGATG